TCCCACCTCCACCCAGACGTGACCCCCAGGAGGGTTCCCCAGGTCCAGATGCTGAAGGCTCCCCATGACCTAAATCCTCCTCTTCCTCCCCATTTTTCCCCCCCCCCAGGTTTTTTTTCCCTCCTGGGATTGGCCGCGGCGGCTCCTCCTCACCTTGGAGAAGACTTCCTGGTGGCCTTCATGCAGAACGGGTTGCAGCAGACCCTCAACAGCGACTTCAAGCTCCTCCTCACCGCTTACTCGCCCTTCACCTCCGTCACCATCTCCATGAAGAAGCCCGGCTTGAGGATGACCCTGCAGGTGACCCCGGGTCAACCCATCCTGGTGAAGGTCCCCCCTCAAGCCGAGATGGTGGGGAGCAAGAGCTTCCACAACGCCCTGGTGGTGAGGGCCACCAACCCCATCTCCTTGGTGATGGTCAACGAGAAACCCACCTCGGTGGACACCGCCTTGGTCTACCCCGTCCACTCCTGGGGCACCGAGTACTACGTGGTGACCCCCAACGTGGGCACCGACCGCTACGGGGAGTTTGTGGTGGCCGCCTGGGAGGAACCCACCCAGGTTGAGGTCCACCTCAAAGCCACCGTCACCTACCAAGGTCAATCCTACCCTCGGGGCACGGTTCTTCCCATCAAACTGGAACCCTTCCAAGCCGTCCAGCTCCAAAGCCCTTCTGATCTCTCGGGCACCAGGATCGTGGGGCAGAAACCGGTGGCCGTCTTCACCGGCCACACCTGCTTGGCCAGGTTCACCCACTGTGACCACTTGGCCGAGCAGCTCCAACCCGTTGCCCACTGGGGCACCACCTTCATTGTGCCCCCGTTGCCCTTCGAGACCCAGTCCGATATCGTCTATGTCTCCACCTCTTCCACCCCCTCCTCCACCCGCGTGGAGTCCCACCACGGGGACACCAAGGCCGTGCGGGACCTACGGCCTGGTCGCTCAACGCTCTATGGTCTCCAGGCCTCCAACCCCTTGGTCCTCTCGGCCGACACCGGGGTCCAGGTGGTTTTTTTTGCTGACGGGGGTCAAAAAGACACCATCTCCTACGACCCCTTCTTCATGACCGTCCCGGATGTCTCCAGCTACTGTCACTCCTACAAGGTCCTGGCCTTGGAGGGCTACCAGAACTACGCCCTCTTGGTGGCCAAGACCTCGGAGACGTCGGGGTTGACCCTCAACAAAGTGCCCTTGAGGAACGTGGAGTGGAAGCCGGTCCCGGGGACCGATTACTCCTGGGCGGGGCAGAGCCTGGGGGGTCAATTCGCCGTCCACGCGGTGGAGCACAAGACCTCCCCCTTCGGGCTGCTCAGCGTGGGCATCCGGGAGCAAAAGGCCTATGGGTCACCGGCCGTCTGTGACAGCGGTGAGTGTCCCATGGCCACTTTGGGCTCCCCATGGTCACCTCCAGCTCCCCATGGCCACCTCCACCTCCCCATGGCCACCTCCCCCTCCCCATGGTCACCTCCACCTCCCCATGACCATCTCCAGATTCCCATGGGCACCTTGAGCTCCCCAACATCACCTTGAGCTTCTCATGGCCACCTCTACCTCCTCATGGCCACCCCCAGCTCCCCATGGTCACTTCCATGTCCCCATGGCCACCTTGAGCTCCCCACTGCCACCTCCAGCTCCCCATGATCACCTTGAGATCCTCATGGCCACCTTGACCTTCCCGTGATCACCTTGAGATCCTCATGATCACCTCCAGCCCCCCATGGTCACCTCCAGCCCCCCCATGGCCACTTCAAGCTCTCCATGGCAACTTCCAGATCCCCACGGCCACCTCAAACTCCCCACACCACCATCCCTGAGGCCACACCTGGCAGCAAAGTCACCCCCCAAGTAATCCTGCCCCATTTCTTCCAGATCCCTGCCGGCTGGTGACGTGCCGGGCCAAGGAGACCTGCAAACTGGAGAAGGGGGAGGCCTCCTGCACCCATGACTACATGGGCACCTGCATGGGCTCCCAGTCCCCCCAGTACCACACCTTCGATGGGGTGACGGTGGACATCCAGGGGGGCTGCTCTTATACCCTGGTCAAATATTGTGGCCAGGACCCCACCCTGGTGCCTTTCAAGGTGGAGGAGAAGAAGGAGCAAGGGGATTCAGGGGAAGGGTTGACCACGGTCTACGTCTACGCCCACAAAGTCTCCATCCAGAGAGGAGAAGGAGGTAAAATCCAGGTGGGTTTTGGTGTGGGGTGTTGGTTTTTTTTCAGCAAAGCCCTTTGGTGGAGGTTGGAGAGCTGGGTGGAGAGGAACCTCATGAAGTTCAACCAGGGCAAGCGTAGGGTCCTCCACGTGGGGAGGAATAATCCCCCAAACCAGCACAGGTTGGGGGTGACCTGCTGGAGAGCAGCTCTGAGGAGAGGGACCTTGGAGTCCTGGTGGACCCCAGGATGACCACGAGCCAGCAATGGGCCCTGGTGGCCAAGAAGGCCAAGGGCATCCTGGGCATCAGGAAGAGTGTGACCAGCAGGTCCAGGGAGGTCATCCTTGCCCTGGGGAGGCCCCATCTGGAGCACTGGGACCAGTTCTGGGCTCCCCAGTTCCAGAAGGACAGGGAACTGCTGGAGAGGGGACAGCAGAGGCTGCGAGGATGATGAGGGACTGGAGAATCTCTCTTAACGAGGAGAAGCTGAGGGACTTGGGGCTTTTTAGTCTGGAGAAGAGAAGTCTGAGGGGGGATCTGATCAAGGGTGGGTGTCAGGAGGACGGGGCCAGTCTTTTTCCAGTGGTGCCCAGTGACAGGACAGGAGGGGAGGGCCACAAATTGGAACATAAGAAGTTCCATCTCAACATGAGGAGGAACTTCTATTCCTGTGAGGGTGGCAGAGCCCTGGAAGAGGCTGCCCAGGGAGGTGGTGGAGTCGCCTGCTCTGGAGACATTCAAGCCCCATCTGGACACGTTCCTGTAGGATCTGCTCTGGGTGGACCTGCTTTGGCAGGGGTGGGGTTGAAGGAGATGATCTCCAGAGGTCCCTTCCAACCCCAAATCATTCTGTGATTCCGTGGAAGAGGCTAAAAGTTTGAGATGAAACATGGGCGAGGTTGAAACTACAAAAAGACAAGGAGGAGAACCATCCAAACCACAGAATATCAGGAATTTTTGACCTGTAAATCAAGACGTGGCAAAGGAGAGGGGTGACTCCAGACGTTCTCCGATGAAACCCTGCACATTTTTTTTCACTTAACCTCAACAAAAAAGGCAATTTTAAGGACACAACTCTGCCATGAGGTTGGCTTTAGCCACGGGGTGCACCAACCATGGAGATCTAACCCCAAAAAGAAGGAGTTTAGGTGAGACCTAAGTCTATTTTTTGAGGTGAGATGGGCAAAACTGGGGGTTTCTCCCATCCCTACAGTTCAAGGGTCTTCCCCGTAGAGATTTTTTTTTTAAGCTCAGGAGTGGCAGGAGATGGTTCTCCCACCAGACGTTGGGGTTTGGACCTTCTCCCGCTGAAACCTATCAGGTTTCTACAGGCTGTGGTGCAAAAATGATGCTGAAAATGGTTTTTTTTTCCCCCAAAAAAATTCACTTTCTGATCGTATCTTTACACTTCTTTGGG